GCAAGTTGTGATGTCACACATACTAGTAATTGCAGTGATCAGCGACTTATAGCGGAACTGCGGCGGGCATTCTGACACTGGGGGGAACTGATTTAGTGTCACTGACTGACAACCCCAGTGACACCAATACAATGATCAGTGCTAAATAAAAGCACTGACTGTACTAATGGCACTGGGCAGGAAGGGGTTAACATGACGGGCGATCAAAGGGTTAACTGTGTGCTGTGTCCGTGTGCTTCACTTATATGATTTTGCGCACCTGTGCCGGCCCGTAGCAGTATTTCTACTATAGGGCGGTCGGAGTGGTTAAAACCACCTTTTAAAAATTATATACAACAATCTTAAGACTAGTTTACACTAGCTGTACTTTCTGAGAAGCAATCTGCATTTGGATCACTCCTCGGAGATCATTTAACAAGTGGTGTGGAGGCAACATCTCATCTCCGCCTTCTTTAACCCCCTCCCACACTAGGTCATGTTCAGCGGGCAGAAATACTCATGATAGAGGGGATAATGTTCCCTGCACCGCGATGCTTTGCAGCATATGTACTACTCTCTGCCCACTGCTTTTGCAGCGTAAGGGTGAATGGTCAACCACGGCTCAATTGCAAGGTGATCTTACTGCATCAACATGGTCTCTCACAGGTAGAAATTTCAAAGGATATATCCGTTTTTAAGTGTGCTGTCCTAACACAAACAGGCAACGTTGAGGAATGAAAACCGTGGTAGACCAGGGAAACCATGCAGATTAAAGAATCATCTTCCCTTTGCAGTGTCCAGTGGCACAACCAGCACAGACTTGGCAGAAACCTGCAATGCTCCAATATGACCACCTATAGTTCAGAAAGTTGTGTCAGAAGTGGTCTTGGAGGATACAAGGATAAAAAGCCATACCTCAAATATGGAAAGGCTAAAAGACTTGCCTATACAAAAACACAAACTATTGTGCAGGAGGGAGAAGGGGGGGGGGGGGAAAACACCCCCTAAAAAACACAGCAGCTGACAAGTTCAAATGTGAAATATCTGGCTGTAACAGGAGGCCATTTGTTCACTGAGGGCCTAGAGCAGTACAGGAATGAGTGCCTCCAGGCAACATGGTGGAGGTTGCCTTTCTACTAGGGATTCACTGAAATTTTGGTGGCCGAAACGTTTCAGTCGAAAAACACCCCTATCGGCTGTTGGCAGATATGAAAATAAGGTACTGAAAATAACCCAATCCCTCACCGCCGGTCGGTGGTTCTCAGTCTTACCTGAGAAACCATTGAATGATCCCGGCGCTGGGCATAAAGATCGGTGAAAGATGGCTTCCACTCATCTTATTGACCCCATATCTCTCCATAAAGAGGACTTCTCACTACCTATTTCTATCACAAGGGATGCATGCATTCCTTGTGAAAGGAATAAGTGATAAAAATGTTATTTATTTATTTTTTTAAAGGGACAGTGTAAAAACAATTAAATAATAATAAAAAAAAGTGCCCCTGCCCCCCCCCCCCCCCCCCCCCCCCCCCCCCCCCCCGTGCTCACACATAGTGGTGAATGCATACGTAGGCCACGCCCCCATATGTAATCTATGTTCAATCCACACATGAGGTATCACCACAAACATCAGAGCAAGAGCAATAATTATAGCCCTAGATAAAAGAAAAAATAGTGAAGCGCTCAAAATAACTACCTATAGGACATGCATACTAAGGTATAATGCAGTGGGTAACAAAAGATCAACAAATGTATAACCACTCAAGTGAAATGAATATATAATGCAATATTACAGTGCACGTGCTCCTAAAACATTGCAAATACAGTACATGCTATGTGACAGTCCGTAGTAGATATTCCGAACTTGGTGGCCAGTACACACGACACAGCAAACAACGTGAGGTGATCACAGTACCACACAATGTGCAAAAATCCGTAAACGGCCAAAGTGGCTCCTCACCTCCTTAATATGACCCACAGGGCCAGCACACGGTGTGAGTAACCACAAATATTCAAAATGGATATCGTCAAGGCTGAACCACTTGAAAGAACTACCTCAGTACTTCTGGATCTTCTCCTATTTCAGGGATGCTCAAAAACATGTGCCCATTGCAGGACAATAATAAAAACAGAAAAAATCCTCCATAGTGTAATCCTGCTTTTATTATATATAAAAAACAAAGCCATTTAAATGCCCACTCACATTTTTAATAAAACACAAAACCCTTATTCACATATCATGGGTGTATACTCATGGTTGTGATGCTGAGTGTAAACATGCGGCTCCACTTGCTCCACAATAACTCCAAAAATGGCGTCCACGCCGGAAACGACGTCACTGCGTTCCCGGAAGTGCGGTCAGTGCGTTGCGTCACGATCCACGTGACTTCTTCAGGGTGAAACACCCCTCCTGACAGCTCTGCCTAAAATAGGCGGCCGGGGCGTTGATCCACTACGGGAAGAAACGCCACCTGCAGCCATAATTCCGGATACCAGTCTGCCACTCCATGTTGATGGTGACTGATGTCTCACCAAAAAACGGGCCAACACAAAAACCCGGCGGGTGTAACAAATTTAAGCCAACACTAGTGGCCAAAAAGAGCATACAGAAAAAAAAAAGGGGAACATACAAAAACCCTTCCTTACAGGTAATTGTGAAGGCAGTTCCGCACCTTTATGAGCATACACTGATACCCATACCATGGCAATAAAACCCATCACTAAAGTGTGGGAATCAGGATATTAAGATAAATATAAAAAATACACACACATTAAATGAACTTTATAAATATATAGAATAAATTACGTGTATATATTAAAAACAATACAATAACAATAATGATAGCATCATGCCCTATGTGAACAAACACATGACCAAGGATCACATAGTCTTAGACATCACTTCATTTATAAAAAACCAAACATATATCTACCACTTATCCAAAGTAACACATACCATCAGGAGCCACTAGTTAACCAAAACATCTTGATCTACCCATTGGGACGACTAGTGAACAGGGAACATTAATTCTAAGTGGAACTAATCAAAATTGATGTTACAAATCACTAATAAAGCAATTTACCGTATTTTCCGGCGTATAAGGAGACTGGGTGTATAAGACGACCCCCTAATTTTCCAGTTAAAACATAGGTTTTGGGCTATACTCCCAATATAAGACTCCCCCCCTTCCGAGGCAACACCATTTAAAAACATCAGATTTTTTAATTGAAATGGTTATGACTTACCGGTACTTAAAATCCTTCAAAATCCTCATGTTCATCCTCTGACATCAGAAGTTCATGAATGACATCTTGTGATACATTTGTAAGACAATCATATGGATCAAATTCCAAATCAGATGGTTACCGCTGGATGTGCGGTAATACGGTAGCTTCGGCTACATACAGTATATATACAGCCCGCTGGATGTGCAGTAATGTACATACAGTACACCACGCTGAGCCAAGCTGGCTTAAAACAAATGTCCATATGACAGATTAATCTGTCAGCCCGCTGGATGTGTGGTATATACAGTATACTGAGTATATACAGTATACTGAGCCAAGCTGTTTCAAAACGTACCGGTACGTCCCTACGGTAATCAGCCCGCTGAATGTGTGTATGTACAGTAGCTGAGGCTACATACAGTATACACTGGGCCAATCACGGCGAGCGATGTATTCGACTAATGAATACAAAGCTTGCTCGGATTGGCTGAGTCAGAGAGGTGGGCTGATGTCACAACCTCAGCCAATCCGAGCAGGCTTTGTATTCATTAGTCGAATACATCGCTCGCCGTGATTGGCCCAGCGTATACTGTATGTAGCCGCAGCTACCGTACATACATGCATCCAGCGGCCTGATTACAGTAGGGACGTACCAGTACGTTTTGAAACCGCTTGGCTCAGCGCAGTATACTATATATACCGCACATCCAGCAGGCTGACAGATTAATCTGTCATAGGGACATTTGTTTTGAGCAAGCTTGGCTCAGCGCGGCATACTGTATGTACAGTATTACCACACATCCAGCCAGCTTGACCCAAACAAACTCAAGGTTCACATTTTATACCCCGCGTATAAGACGACCCCCAATTTTTGGGGTATATTTTTAAGTATAAAAAGTAGTCTTTATACGCCAGAAAATACTGTTGATCAAATTCTACGTTGAGACCTTTTGGTACCAAAGTCTGTAATATAAAAATCCACTTAGATTCGGCCTTACTAAGCGACCTAATTTTATGACTACCCGGACAAAAAGACCATTATGGAAACAGATTCGGGAGCACATACAGAGCATTAAAAAAGGTTATCCGAAACATAATGTGTCTAAACATTTTCTGACTCACCATAATAAGGAACCCTCTTCTCTCAAGTTTTTGGGGGATAGAGAAATATTATGGGCATTGGAGGGGTAGTCATAAAATTAGGTCGCTTAGTAAGGCCGAATCTAAGTGGATTTTCATATTACAGACGTTGGTACCAAAAGGTCTCAACGTAGAATTTGATCTAAATTGCTTTATTAGTGATTTGTAACATCAATTTTGATTAGTTCCACTTAGAATAATGTATGTTCCCTGTTCACTAGTCGTCCCAATGGGTAGATCAAGATGTTTTGGTTAACTAGTGGCTCCTGATGGTATGTGTTACTTTGGATAAGTGGTACATATATGTTTGTTTTTTTATAAATGAAGTGATGTCTAAGACCATGTGATCCTTGGTCATGTGTTTGTTCACATGGGGCAATCATTATTATTGTATTGTTTTTAATTTATACACATAATTTATTCTATATATTTATAAAGTTCATTTAATGTGTATATATGTATATATTTTTATATTTATCTTAATATCCTAATTCCCACACTTTAGTGATGGGTTTTATTGCCTTGGTATGGGTATCTGTGAAGGCTGTTCCGCATACACTATTACCTGTAAGGAAAGGTTTTTTTGTATGTTCCCCTTTTTTTCTGTATGCTCTTTTTGGCCACTAGTGTTGGCTTAAATTTGTTACACCCGCCGGGTTTTTGTGTTGGCCCGTTTTTTGGTGAGACATCAGTCACCATCAACATGGAGTGGCAGACTGGTCTCCGGAATTATGGCTGCAGGGGGCGTTTCTTCCCGTACTGGATCAACGCCCCGGCCGCCTATTTTAGGCAGAGCTGTCAGGAGGGGTGTTTCACCCTGAAGAAGTCACGTGGATCGTGGCGCAACGCTTCGGAACGCACTGACAGCACTTCCGGGAACGCGGTGACGTCGGTGTTTCCGGCGGCGTGGACGCCAACTCTGGAGTTATTGTGGAGCCGCATGTTTACGCACAGCATCAGAACCATGAGTATACACCCATGATATGGGAATAAGGCTTTTGTGTTTTATTAAGAATGTGAGTGGGCATTTGGCTTTGTTTTTTATATATAATAAAAGCAGGATTACACTATGAAGGATCTTTTCTGTTTTTATTATTATCCTGCAATGGGCACATGTTTTTAAGCATCCCTGTAATAGGAGAAGTTTCAGAAGTACTGAGGTCGTTCATTCAAGTGGTTCAGCCCTGACGACATCTATTTTGAATATTTGTGTTTACCCACACAGTGTGCTGGCCCTGTGGGTCATATTAAGGAGGTGAGGAGCCACTTTGGCCGTTTACGGATTTTTGCACATTGTGTGGTACTGTGATCACCTCACGTTGTTTGCTGTGTCGTGTGTACTGGCCACCAAGCTCGGAATATCTACTACGGACGGTCACATAGCATGTACTGTATTTGCAATGTTTCAGGAGCACGTGCACTGTAATATTGCATTATATATTCATTTCACTTGAGTGGTTATACATTTTTTATATTGATCTTTTATTTGTTACCCACTGCATTATACCATAATATGCATGTCTTATAGGTAGTAATTTTGAGCGCTTCACTATTTTTTCTTTTATGTACATAGACCTTGTGGTTAAGGCCAGTGTGAGCTGCTTAGGAATAGGACATCCATTTCAGCGCAGGAGGTCTCATCTACAATTATAGCCCTAGACCTCCTCTGTAAACTTTACACTGGTAACCTGTAGAAATTTTAAAGCATCACCCATGGAGATTTTTAAGTACCGTAGTTTGACGCCATTTCATGCGCAATTTTAAAGTATGACATGTTGGGCATTATTTACTCGGCGTAACATTTTGCACAAAAAATTAGGGTATATATAGTGTGTGTTTTTTTTTTTTTTTTTTTTTTAAATCATCAAAGGGTAGTTTTTTTCCAAAAAAAAATTGCAAGTGAAAAATATATAATATTGTTTAAATCTGTCCGTCCATTTCAGTTTCGGTTTTAAGCTAAGTGCATCCTGAATTTTCGGTTTCGGCACCAGAATTTTTATTTCAGCGCACCACTAATTTTTGTTGGGAATATGGTCAGAATTAATGATCTCTTCACTGCTGGAAAAGGACAAGGAGTCCTGGAAGTGATAGTATGGCTCTCACACAGCCATTAAAACTTATTCTGTCTGGGAATATATGAAGAGATGAAGCAACAGAAAGCCAAAATCCAGAGAAAAAACCGGTGGTTAGTGCACCTAGATGTTTGAGCGACCTGCCTACCGAGTTCCATAACAATATAGTGTGCAAGTGTAGTTATAAGAATTGAGGATGTTTCAAAGGCCAAAAGGTGGACACACCAAATATTTCCTGTTTATGAATTTTGTAGGCTGATAGATAAAATCTATACACTGCATTATTTTTTAAAACAATCTGACAGCATTTTTTTTTTCCCACACAAGCACCTAAAAACCCCCCAAAAAAGAACAAAAACTTACCTTCCTTTCCATCCGTTCATCCCTTGTCTCTGCCCTAGTTGGTGGTGGAGCATCTCTGGGGTCCTAAAGAAACAAGAACATGTTATCAAATTTCATATGCCATTAAGAAGTGTCAATCTCTCAACATTTTCTCTTAGTTTTTGGGCAGTCTGAAGTTAAAATTCTGCCTTTAAGGATTATTGACAGTATATTCGTTGAGTTGCATTTTGTGTTTCCCGTGTCCCCTGTTCAAACAATTCACGTACAAGGTGTTCAGAGAAGTGCACCTTAATATGGTGTAAGCAAACCTTTAGGTCTCAGATAACCAACACCTGCTGTGGTTTCTACGAGTATTTCCTACTCTCTGCCGGTCTAATAAAAATTGTGAAAAAGATAAAAAGTACAAACACGAATACCCAGGAGCAAATTAACAAAAAAAAAAAAAAACACAACACACCACAAACAGGAAAAATCAAGGGAGAGGCGGTTCAGACTTCATGAATATCTGCAACTGAGTATGCCAACCCTAAAAAAAAAAAAAAAAAAAAAAAAACCCACAAAAAAACCGCACACAATCACAAACTATTCTTACCTCAAATTCTTTAATATAAGGAGCAATTCCACAGTATGGTTGATTATGGTGCTTTTCATGAGGTAGTTTATCCAAAGGTGGCAGGTATGGAACTGGATCTCTTGGGGCAAACAAAGCTAACAAGTTCGGGGGCAGAAACTGCGTCATTTTGAAGACCTATAAAAAAAATAAAAAAAAAAAAAAAAAAAAAAAAAAAAGAAGAAGGAGGAAGGTCAGTGAACACATTTAGCTTTTCTTTGGACCCTAAATATAAAGTGAAATATCAAGGGCAACCAAATTCAAAATTAATAAGTATAACATTTTACCTGGAAAGGATTTGAAAATTTATAGTCAGTCTTGTGATTCACTGACCTATGACAAGTTTCATAGCTAGTTGTGCGACACCACCATTTCCTATTTCAGGTTTGAAGATTCACTTGTCATTTGCCAGCCTAAATGTGTTCTAAGGTTAATTAGTAAGTGGAAAAGCTGGATTCATTTCCCCCTCGCAACATACACTACATCGCCAAAAGTATTGTGACACCCCTCCAAGTCATTGGATTCAGGTGCTCCAATCGCCTCCAGGGCTACAGGTGTACAAAATCAAGCACCTAGGCATGCAGACTGCTTCTACAAACATTTGTGAATGAATGAGTCGCTCTCGGGAACTCAGTGAATTCAAGCATGGTACCGTGATAGGTTGCCACCTGTGCCACCAAGTCCATCCATGAAATTTCCTTGCTACTATATATTCCACGGTCAACTGTTAATGGTATAATAAAGTGGAAGAAACCAGGAACAACAGCAACTCAGCCACCAGCTTAGTAGGCCACGGAAAAAGACAGCAGGGTCAGCGCATGCTGAAGCGCACAGTGCACAGAAGTCACTAACTATCTGCAGAGTCAATAGCTAAAGACCTCCAAACTTCTTGTGGCCTTCAGATTAGCACAACAGTGCGTAGAGTGTTTAATGGAATGGGTTTCCAAGGCAGTTGCATCCAAGCCTTACATTACCAAGTGCAATGCAAGCTTCAGATGCAATGGTGTAAAGCACACCGGCACTGGACTCTAGAGTAATGGAGACGTGATCTCTGGAGTGACGAATCACGCTTCTCTGTCTGGCAATCCAATGGACATGTCTGGATTTGGTGGTTGCCAGGAGAACAGTACTTGCCCGACTGTATTGTGCTAAGTGTAAAGTTTGGTGGGGGGGTAGGGGGGGGGGATTATGGTGTGGGGTTGATTTTCAGAGGTTGGGCTTGGCCCCTTAAACTATTTTATGCTGGAGAAACTTAGTGTGAACAGTTTGGGGATGGCCCCTTCCTATTCCAATATGACTGCGCACCAGTGCACAAAGCAAGGTCCATAAAGACATGAATGAGCGAGTTTGGGGTGGAGGAACTTGACTGGCTTGATAGACCACCTTTGGGATAAATTAGAGCAGAGACTGCAAGCCAGGCCTTCTCATCCGACATCAATGCCTGACCTCATAAATGGGCTTCTGGAAGAATGGTCAAACATTCTCAGACATATTCCTAAACCTTGTGGATAGCATTCCTGAAGAGTTGAAGCTGTTATAGCTACAAAATGTGTGCCAACTCAATATTGAACCCTACGAAGACTGGGATGTAATTAAAGTTCATGTGCGTGTAAAGGCAGGCGTCCCAATACTTTTGGCAATATAATGTAGTTAGTCTGACTAAAAAAAAGACACAAGTCCATCCAGTTCAACCATAAAAAGGGAAGAAAAAAAATTATAATCCACACACCCAGCTGATCCAGAGGAAGGCAAAAAAACCCCCAGTAAAGCATGATCCAATTTGCTCCTGCAAAGGAAAAAAAAATCCTTCCTGATTCTGAGAAGCAATCAGATATTTCCTGGATCAACTGTATCTATAGTTTAGTATCCAGTTATATTATGTGTATATAGGATATTGGAATTGTGGCTATTATTTAAAATAGAAATTAGGCAGCTGTCCTAATTAAATTACAAACAAAATTCATGGATAACATGAGTATATAGCATATAGTGACTTCCCACAAGACCGCGTTCAAATAACTAAAAGATTAAATTAACCAATAAAGCACAGTATATAGGGAAAAAGCTTAAACTATAATCCACTATACTCTCCACCACCGGGTGACAGTGTGTGACCAGAACATAAGAACAGTCCACAAGACGGCCTTAGAGGTGAAGAATCAGAACAAGATTGGATGAATTTTTTTTTTTTTTTTTAAAGGGTGGCTTTAGGAACTTATATGGAAAAGACGGAAAATGGGAATTTTAGAAAGGCACGTTAAAGATTTACAACTTGAACCAATAAAAGGTTTGCACCAATGCAGTAAATTTAACAGACAAATAAATGGTTGGAAAAGGTGGATAAGGGTACTCAAAAAGAAAAAAAATTCAATAGAGACTTAGGTGACTTCAGGAATAATGCAATATATTTATGGAAAAAATACCTGAGGTGAATAATGGGGAAGGGATGGTCATAATTCCTGTCAGCTCAGATGATAGTGAGGGACAGGGAATTAATTCCATTAATAGTAACCAAGTAGATTTAAATGCACAGAATAAAAATAAATTACCATCCCAAAGTAAATCAAGGTTGAATCCACCTACCAAAACAGGCCTGGTAAAAAGGAATCCAACTGGGGGGAGGGGAAGACAGGAGGGTCCACAACTCCTAGAAATAACTTTAGGGTGCCTACCTACAATAGATTTGAACTCCTAATGGATTATAGGGAAGATTTATTCTCTCATGCCTTTTTTAGGCAATTGGAAACAAGGGAGGAGGTTGGTTATGTCCCCCACAGGGGGAGATCTCAAACTGAATATGGACCACTCCCCCGATCCGCCCCAGAATACAGGGTTGGCAGCCCCCCCACATTGAGAAAAACAAGGTTATACAAGGGAAGAACCATCAAGAAAGCAGGAAGAGGATGTAGGTTGAGGTCAGGACTGTGCAGGCCAGTCAAGTTCCCCTCACCTCAAACTCACTCATCCATGTCTATATGGATCTTACTTTGTGCATGTTAGAACAGGAAGGGGCCATTCCCAAACAGTTCCCACAAAGTTAGGAGCATGCAGTTGTCTAAAATGGATTGGTAAGCGGACGCCTTAAGAATTCTCTTCACTGGAACTAAATCCGGTCATACCCCCCCCCGGCCAGGCCATTTTTGCGATAAGATGCTGCGTTACTGACAATTGCACGGTCATGCTGCGCTGTACCCAAAATAAATTTAAGTCCTTTCCCCCCACAAATAGAGATTTCTTTCGGTGTTATTTGATCACCTGTGCGGTTTTAATTTTTTTGTGTTATAAAAAAAAAACAAAACAAAAAAAAAACAAACATTGACTTTTTGCTATTAACCCTCCTGATGATTTACCCCCCCTTCCTGACCAGGCCACTTTTTGCGTTACAGCGCTGTGTTATTTTAACGGATTGCGTGTCATGCAACACTGCACCCAAATTAAATTTACGTCCTTTTTTCCCCACGAATTGAGCTTTCTTTCGGTGGTATTTGATCGCCTGTGCGGTTTTTATTTTGTTGCACTACAAGCGATAATTTTGAGGAAAAAAAAATAATATTTTTGAATTTTTGCTAACATGTCCAGTAAAAATTTTATTAAAAAATCAAATTGTCATAAATGTACGCCAAAATGTATTCTGCGACAAATTTTTTCCCCAAAACTAGTAATGGCAGCTACCAGCGACTTACAGTGGGATTGCGGCAGACATTCTGACACTGGTGGGAACTGACTTGGTGTCACTGACATCCCCAGTGACACCAATATAATGATCCGTGCTAAAAAAAAAAAAAAAAAAAAAAAAAAAGTACTGACACTACTAATGGCACTGGGCATGAAGGGGTTAACATGTGGGGCGATCAAAGTGTTAACTGTGTACTGGGAGTGTTTTACTAGGGGGCGGTGTGTGCGCGTTTCACTGTAATCACACTGCTCTGCACAGCCATCCAGAGCAGTGTGCCCGAGCTGAACAGGGAGGAGGACTGTTAGTAAATAAAACAGTCCTCCCTCCCTGTTGGTGAACGTCAGAAATCACCGGGTGCTGGCGAGTAATTACCGGCTGGGATCCGGTGATTGACAGCCACAAACACGAATGGCAGAGCGGGTAGGGCGCACAGGCTGCTCATCATGCGAACCACCTACCTGAAAATGCAAAATCACGTATATATACACACGTGATTTTGCGCACCCCTGCCGCCCTGTAGCAGTATTTCTTCTATAGGGTGGTGGTGGGGATGCGGTTAAACATGTCAAATGGCAGCGCGGGCAGGGTGCACACGCGCCCCCTACCCAGAACTGAAAAATCGTGTGTGTGTGATTTTGCACACTCATGCAGCCCTGTAGCACTATTTCTGCTACAGGGCAGCACGAAAGCAGTTAAACTCCAGGGATATTGATCTGGTCAGTTAAGCAGCAGAGGGGGTTGTTAACCAGTTTCAGCTGCTTTGGTGTTAATGAAATTAATAGCTGCACTGGATGTGCAACGAGTACGACCCCCAAAACAGGAATAGTTTTACAGGTGGAGTCCATGGACATTTTTTTCCCTACTCATCTTTTCTGAATGTTTTTCACTAGTTTTGCATTTGGCTAGGGTCAGTGTCACTTCTGGTAGGTTGCACAGGCTGTCCAATTCCTCCAGGATGACACATCAATATGTGCCATTGCCAGAAGGTTTTCTGTGTCTCCCAGCACAGTCTCAAGAGCATGGAGGAGATTCCAGGAGACAGGCAGTTACTCTAGGACAGCTGGACAGGGCCACAGAAGCTCATTAACCCATCAGCAGGACCAGTATCTGTTCCTTTGAGCAAGGAGGAACAGGATGACGACTGCCAGAGCCCTACAAATTTATATCCAGTAAGCCACTGGTGTCAATGTCTCTGACCAAACAATCAGAAAGACTTCATGAAGGTGACCCGAGGGCTCGACGTACTCTAGTGGGCCCTGTGCTCACTGCCTGGCACCACAGAGTTTGACTGGCATTTGAAATTGAACACCAGAATTGTCAGGTCCGCCACTGCTACCCTGTGCTTTTCAGAGATGAGAGCAGGTTCACCCTGAGCTCATGACAGACATGAAAGGGTCTGGAGAGGCCGTGGAGAACGTTATGCTGCCCGCAACATTGTTCAGCATGACTGGTT